CTTTATTCCAGATTACAGCGAGAAGCTCATTTCCATCTGCAGTCCCTGGACAGGAACACACATAACAACAAGGCCTTCACTATCACAATCACATTAGTTATAATAATGTTGTTAAAATATCGCTTTATACACAAATATCTGACACTATGTCCTTTAAAAAAAAAAAATATATATATATATATATTTGTGCAGAATTTATATTGTTGATTCAATTTTTTATTTATTATTAAATCTGATATTTACACATTGTTTTATATTGGATTTAAGCAAATACTTTGGGAAAGGGAGAGAGAAAATATATATTGTGAATTTATTTAGAATATTATAAAAAAATATTGATCTTTTCCAAATATAGCTTAATACAGTATATATATATGTAAAGTATATTGTTTTTGTTTTGTTCTGCAATGAGGCTTATTTGCACACAAATAGGCTAATTTTCAGCAAATAAATGTGTGTTACCTTTTAAAAAACACACACTTGACATGACACTTTTCACTACAGTTAAGGTGCATTTCACAGTTTGTGGTTCTTTTAGGGAGAATTACGACTTTCTATATGTCTTATTTGAACAGGTATAGTGGGCAGAACGTGTTTAGTGACTGGTGTTTGTGTCTCAGGTGGTGGTTGGAGACAAAGTGATGCTGAACCCGGTGAACGCTGGGCAGCCGCTGCACGCCTCAAACTACGAGCTGACCGACCATCCAGGCTGCAAAGAGGTGAGACGCAGAGTCATCAGAGTACTGACACTGAACCTGCACTGAGCATATTTCTAGTTCTGATAAGTCCTGCATCAGAGACTCTCAGTAAACAGCTGTTCTCCCCCTGCAGGTGAACTCTGTGAACTGCAACACCAGCTGGAAGATCAACCTGTTCATGATGTTCAGCGACAACAGAGAGGAAGTCCTCAAAGGAGTGAGTGACTTTACTGCAGTGCATGCAGAACATACAATAAATACACCTGTGTCCCGGATTGCACCAATGTGTAATAACAAGCACACTCTTTCTTTGATACACATATATTTAGATTCAGTTAAACTTTAGGATATTATATCAGCTATAAAGTGTGAATAAACCTCCTAACATTTCTTTACAAATACAATTTTTAAAAAGCTGCCAGAATTTGTGCTCATAGTAATTTTTAGTCAGAGAAATCTTTCCTTTACTTTGGCTTTTTGGAAATCTTTTAATACTACAATACCCATAAGCCTTAGCTGTTGTTGGAATGCAGAAGAAGTAATTGCAGTGGGGACAAAACACAATGCCATGATTACTGAGTTTATCCAAAATTGACCAAAAGACTCCAGAAATAAATTTATTCAAACAGTGATTTTGGAAAATTGGCTCCTGCAATATGAGCTTGAAGTAGTTAAGCAGAACATAAGAAAATATACTTTAATTCCTGTTAAACTCTTCTCTCTCAGGGCGAGGTGGTGCGTTTGTTTCACGCCGAGCAGGAGAAGTTTCTGACCTGCGACGAGTACAAGAGCAAACTCCACGTGTTCCTCCGAACGACTCTGAGACAATCTGCCACCTCAGCCACCAGCTCCAACGCTCTGTGGGAGATCGAGGTACACACACACACACACACACACACACACACACACACACACACACACACACACACTGAACTTATATCAAACTCCCTCTGTGTTCTGATTGGTCCGTTAGGTTGTCCATCATGACCCTTGTCGTGGGGGGGCGGGACATTGGAACAGCCTCTATCGCTTTAAACACCTGGCCACCGGAAACTACCTGGCTGCTGAGGTAACCATGGCAACGCTGTGTGGAAGGATGTATGAGTGAATGAACGAATGATTTCTGATTATAAGCATTAACAGCTGATCTGCCACAACAGGAAGTCATCAGTATAAACGTTACTATCTACCAATTATCAAATGCTGATAAATATAATTTGAATGCCTTTGCAACTAATGCTTGTTTCTCACTTACTAGATTTAGATGCAGATTAGTTTGAAACATTTTATCGTTTTACTTATTGCTAAATTGCTTAAGCTCTCATGCTGCTCAAAATGTACCCCTGTTGTATTCCAAATAACTTGTAATACTAGATCATACTAATCTGTATTGCATTTATTTGTAACCCTACAGAATCTTAAAAGTAATTTTCTTTTTGAGGGGTTTTCTTGTGTTAGATAATATATTTTGAGTAACTGTTGTTGTTGTTGTTTTTGCAGGAGAACCCGGGATATAAAGGAGACAGTGCAGAGCCGGCATCTGTAGTGAGTTCACTTCTTTACCATCGTCACACATCAACACCAGTGGGATTCAAACAGTTAATATCACACAGCTCTGGAGAAACAATTTGAATGACTTTTTCTATTTAAAATAGAGTGTTCCGTCTGTGTATTTGAACCCTTTCACCTCCTGAGCCTCACTGTGACCTCTGACCTCTCTGTAGGTCGACAGCAGTCGCAGCAAGCGCTCCCACGGCGAGAGGATCAAGTACAAGTTGGTGGCGGTGGCTCATGGGAACGACATCGCCTCGCTGTTCGAGCTCGACCCGACCACGCTGCAGAAGACCGACTCGTTCGTACCACGGTAAGGAACAATTATGGTTTATTTTACTTCCTGTTTGTGTTTTGAATTAAAGCACTGCAGAAAACGACAGGATATATGTTCTACTAAGTTCGGATTTTTTTTTTGAAGATCTGTTTAACTTTATTGGACTGAAATAAGGCACATTTTAAATCCTCTTCATCAAGCAATAAGCAAACATGACGAAGGCGTCTGTTGTCCCTCAGTCTGTAATTCTGCATGTGCCATATATACTTTCTTTTTACAGGGTTTAATATTATACAATTGTACAGGAAGTCTTCATTTGTATGTCAGTTTAACTGTAATCCAAATAGCAAAGTAGATTAGCAGCAGATTGATATGTAGATTAATTTATCCGGTGAAGCACCATAAGCTAATTCAAGGACCATAAAGGACACTAAACCAACTTCAGTGGCTTGAACCTGTTGAACCTGTTTTCTTCAAGAAACTCGTACGTACGGCTGAGACATCTGTGCACCAACACCTGGATCCAGAGCACCAACGTCCCCATCGATATCGACGAAGAGAGACCCATCAGACTCATGGTAAGTCCCACTCTAGTTCAAATCTACCTTAGATGCTTTGAACTCACTAGTTTATGTATCATACCTTTGACAGTTTTATGTGTTTTTCTGCTTGTGTTAAGACAACAATTATCTTCACAGAACTTCCCCAAACAGGTTTGATTTTTAGAAAGAACGTTTGGTTTGTTTTTTCGTAAAGGATGAATGTTTCTCTCAGTATGTGATATTATTGTACCTCTTCCTGCAGTTAGGAACGTGTCCCACTAAAGAGGATAAGGAGGCGTTTGCCATCGTCTCTGTTCCTGTGATGGAGATCAGAGATCTGGACTTCGCTAACGATGCCAGCGCCATGCTGAGCACCGTGGTGGACCAGTTCGGACAGGGCTTCATCAGCCAGAACGACCGCCGGTAGGTCACTGTGTGTCAATGTGATGTGTGCGTTTGGTTTTTTGTGTATAATAGGAAATGTATCTACTGTATCTGTTTGCATGCCTTGAGGAAATACTTTTATGCCCTTATGAATTTGTTTTATCTGAAATTGTCAAATTCCTTATGGTTATTCCGCCATGACCTAGCTGATGTAGATTAAGGCCCCAGCCACACAAGGACGATAACGGTCATATCCGCTACAGTTCTCTATCATATAGACGGTTCGGCCACACAAGGCCGACATGGAAACGCATAAAATGATAACGATAACGATAACGGGTCTGGATCTGCGAACGAAACACTCTGGGGGGGCAAACGGCTCGGTGTTTACGCCTATACGATCATTTCCTGATAACGTTGAAGCAATAGCCCCGCCTCTCCCACCTCTCCTGCTCAGAGATCAGCTGCTGGACTGTCTTCAAAGGGGGAGGAAAAGAGAGGCTCCGTTTTTTATTATTATATATAGTCGTTATCAATTTGTTTTAAAGCTCAATAAATAACAAAGAAGACCTCTGACTGGCACTTTTCTAATTTTGTCCGGAAGATTTAAACTTTAACGGACATGTTGACCGGCGAAAAAAAATCAAACTGAAACTCTGTCGCACGGTCCCCTCGTCCCTTGGAAGAGGCGGAGAGGTGGGTGTTTTTCATCTGCTGGTGGACTACCGGAGAGAATTACAGCGCTTGCCTCGACGGGGAGGGATTGCATTGAGAGATTTACAGCAGGAGCAAACGCTTGCCTCGGGGAGGGAGAAAAAGAGCCACAGCGGAGAATAAACAGAAGGGCAACCATGGCAACCATGCGCGAGAATTCTTCTTAAAGCTCAATAAATAATGCTTTTGTGGCAGGAGTACAGCGCCACTTACAGGCCTGGCATATGTACTACAGCTTCTCCAGCGCTTTGAGCGGTCTCGTGTGAACGGACACGTTTCTGGTGCCTATTGCGTGTGGACCGAAGACTTTTTTGATATCGATTTCGGTCCATTTGCGTTATCGATCTCGTGTGGCTCCAGCCTAAGATACATTTATTTATTTGTAACATTCAAGAAAAAATAGCATGTCGCAGTAGCAGAGTTTTTGATTTTTATATTAAGTAGAGAGTACAGATAAAAACTAAAAACTAAGAGAAATTCAGTAAACCGAGAAATTACACAAGAAAATAAGCAAGTACATACAGGAAGACTGACTTTGAGGAATACTTAATATACAAAAAATGTTGCCGGTCAGGTTTGCCATCAAGCTGCTGGAGGACGTGGTTTTCTTCGTGGCTGACGTCATCAACAGCGGGCAGGCGGTCCTGGATGTAAACATGTCCAAAGCCAACCGAGAGAGACAGAAACTGATGAGAGAACAGAACATCCTCAAACAGGTGGGATCCAAGAATCACTCGGGTGCAAGTAATTAAGAAGCATATGCAGGAACCAGGACTAAAGTATTCCGTGATTGTGCGTTTCAGATCTTTGGCATCCTGAAGGCCCCCTTTAAGGACCGGGGGGAAGGGGAGGGTCCTCTGCTGCGTCTGGAGGAGCTGGCGGACCAGAAGAACTCTCCCTACCAGTACATGTTCAGACTCTGCTATCGAGTCCTCCGACACTCCCAGGAGGACTACCGCAAGAACCAGGTGAGGAGGAAGAGGATGAAAATAATGCAGATGAAGACCCAAGTTGTCAAATATCTGTTAAATCTACTTAAAATGTGTTCAGATACAGTTTTCCTGTATCAAAGGGTGCACCCCAGGGTTCTGTACTGGGACCATTTCTGTTTTCTAAATATTATGTAAATAAAATCTTGTATCGATCTAAATGCAATGTAATGTAATGTAATGATCTATGCTGATGATACTGTTATCTGCTGTTCTTATCAGTAAAAAAAACTGAATTTTGGCATTCCCATTACAAGAGACGCTACAGTAATTTAGTCTTGAACTTACATAAAGCTGGGGGTCTCACAAGAGAAAGATTAAAATAAAAATGACAATTCGCCAATGTTGTCCTAAATACCAACGTCCGGTTTTTAATGAAAGTCCGAAGCCCAAGCCGAGATATTTTTTTTTCGATTTTGAAAAGCTTGCTCCAGAGACACAAACGAATTTGAAACGTGTGAGAAATGTGAGATGTTTTCTCGAATGACAAATAAACCTATTTTAACCAAAGTTAGTGTTGAAGGACCAATCCAAACATGAAACATTTAAATTGTAAAAAGTTTGTATTTAGGTATTGTTATCATTATTATAAATGATTTAATATATTTATACTATGATGAGATTATGAATTGTTTGATAGAAGTATAACACATTTTGTTTTCTTTCTCCTTTATGTAAAATTCTAAATATAAATGACTTCCCTGGTCAGTTATTCTTTTTTTAACTTTCTGAGTCTACTTCACCTTCCTCCCCCTTCAGGAGCACATAGCGAAGCAGTTCGGTGTGATGCAGAGTCAGATCGGTTATGACATCCTGGCTGAGGACACCATCACCGCCCTGCTGCACAACAACCGAAAACTGCTGGAGAAACACATCACCAAGACCGAGGTGGAGACCTTCGTCAGCCTGGTCCGCAAGAACAGAGAGCCCAGGTACACATGGAGGGAGGAAGCAGAGGGTAGAGGCCCTCAATATGTTGTTGGTATATGTATTCTTATTTTGTGTTTGTGTTTATACAGGTTTCTGGACTACCTGTCAGATTTGTGTGTGTCCAACAACGTGGCCATCCCCGTCACTCAGGAGCTCATCTGTAAATGTGTACTGGACCCCAAAAACCAGGATATCCTCATCAAGACAGAGTGAGGAGGGAGGGAGGAAGGGAGGGAGAGAGGGAGGGATGATCTGTAACCCCTCAGTTAACAATCATTTTTGCATCATTAAAGGCCTTATTTGCACTGGATAAAAATTAAAGGGGGAGGTTGGGAATGAAATATACTCTGTGCTTCACTGTCGTTGAACTCTACTCGTATTTAGTTGAGTGGCAAAGACACTTATGATAACAATTCAAGATTCAAGATTCAAAGGTTTTATTGACATATGCACAAAGCTACAGCGTATAAATGGAAATGAAATTCTTCTGACCTGAGCTCCTCCAACAATGCAACATATAAAATACAAAATAAAAAGTAGTGCAAAAAGTCTATGTACATGTCAATAGAATATGGGATATGTACAAGAACAGAGTATGAAATTAAATAATGTAAATTGAGACTAAATTAAATATGGTTTATTGCGGTGATAACTATTTGTATAAATTGGTATATTGCAAGATGACAACAGGAATGTTTATCGGGGCACTTAACAGAGCTCAGGTGTTTAGCAGTCTTATGGCCTGTGGGTAATTGTGTGTAAAAGTGGGATTTCTCGCAAAGTAATAGCACAAGCAAATTATCCCAGAGATACACTACTGAGGATATCAACATGTTATAATTTAACTTTATTTCTGTTTTGTCCCTTCCAGACGTCGTGTCCCCAAAGATGCGATCCCTGGTGGTGGAGAATACATCGGGATGGAAGACTATGGAGATGATGACGAGGTGACTCTTAATGCATCTGTTTATTTTACATGTAATTAAATTGGTTTGTAAAGTTGTTAATTCTAATATCTAAGGACAAATTAATCGGGTATGAAAATGTGTTTTACAACACTTGGTTGGAAATTAAATGCATCAACGGTTCAGGGCTAGGATCGAACCAGCGACGATTGTATCATAGTCTCACAGTTACTGTACTAGAAAGTTTGGGTACTCCTATCTTAGAATACATTTGACACCTTTCCATTTACTTAGCATGCTTAGCACGGCTGTGTACATTTGACCAGCGCTGGATGAAGATGGGACCGTGAGTTGTCTGAAAGCAGAAAATTCAAATACGTTGCATTTCTGCAGATTCAAGAGTTTTTCTCTCTGCCTAATAGAGATAGACAAAGCCATGTTTACAGCTTTAAAAGTCCCCTATTATACTGTTTTTCATTACTTTATTATAGGTCCCAGATATATACAAAACATGTCTCTGAAGTGTTTGGCTCCAAACACCAAACAGATCATTGCAGCATTACCCATAATCCCCTCTGTTTCAGCCCTGTTTCCAAAGTGCTGATTCTCTGTCTGTTACTTTAGATGAAAATAAGGAGCCCCTCCCCACACCCCTCTGAGAGAGATTTGGTTAAAAAGAAACAATGGTGCTCTAGGAGGAGATTCAGGTGATAAGGTGGGGGGGGGGGTACCTTGGTTGGTGATTGGCTAATGGTTACTCAAGCCAAAAAAATCGTTATGACATCATAAAGTGGCCAAAATCTGATCAGCTCATTTTATATACAGTAAATGTATCAGGACAAAAAGAGAGAGAATCTTTGTTCCTGAAACTTTCAGAGTCTCTTTACACAGAGGGGACACACATTGAGGTAGAAAAGACAGGTTAAAGTGGATTTTGCACAATAGGTGATCTTTATCAAATGAAGCTGAGGATGCAGAATTCTGTCTAATCTGATCTAGTTGTATTCTCTTCCTGCAGGTGTGGCTGGTGTGGACAGACAAGACCAATGAGAAGCAGGAGAAGGGCATCAGACAGCTGGCTCAGGAGGCAAGACAAGGGAACGCTCACGATGAGAATGTCCTCACCTACTACAGGTAGACAAAGATGGAGGGGTCATCCACAGAAAATATTATGAAAATCCCAATATTAGCTTCCCTTATACATCAAGTTCACTCTAGAATGATAATACAAGAAAACAGTCATATTCAGAGCCATGGTCAGCTGGAATTATTTTCCGGTCCATATCATTCAGGAACATTCTCAAGTATATTTCAAAAGGTTGCTTAAAAAATTATCTCAGTATTATAAAGTATAATTGAACTGTGCCTGTGGCTATGTACTGTATTATTATGTACAATTATTTGTGTTTTCTTGTTTGGCCTTTTGATGGCTAATATTGGATGACCATTTTAGTTTTCACTTCATATAGCATTGTAAATTGCATGAAATTATGAGCTGTTTTGTTTTAGTTTTGTTTTATGTATGTTTTGTGTGTGTGAAGAAGAATAACCAATGCTCATGCTAGTGCTAATGGGGATCCTAAAACATCAGAATTAGAATACCTTTATTAGTGCCACAGAGGGGACATTTACATTGTTTCATCAGAAAAGATCCAAAGACAGCTTTATGTTACTAAGTAGCATGCATAGAACAAATATTAAAGATTAAAAAAACAAAAACAGCCAGGTATATATTGCACAGTTATTAACGGCATATATACATATTGCACATAATTCAAATATTGCACATATTGCACATATTGCACACATTGCACATAGTTGGTGGTTAACAACAAGGAGTGTTATAAGTTATTATTAGAGAGTGTTATAAGTTAGTATTAGAGAATTAAAGAATAAGAATAAGAAAGCAGAGTCTCTCTCTTTGTGTTTCCTCAGGTACCAGCTGAAGCTCTTTGCCCGGATGTGTCTGGACCGTCAGTATCTGGCGATAGACGAGATCTCCAAGCAGCTGGATGTGGAGCTCATCTTCCTCTGCATGATGGACGAGACGCTGCCCTTTGACCTCCGGGCCTCCTTCTGCCGCCTCATGCTCCACGCCCACGTAGATCGGGACCCTCAGGAGCTGGTGACCCCTGTGAAGTTCGCTCGCCTCTGGACCGAGATCCCCTCCTCCATCACCATCAAAGAGTAGGTCGATTTTAAAGGTCACCTATTATGCAAAATCCACTTTTTCCTGTCTTTTATACATCAACATGTGTCCCCTCTGTGTAAAGAGATTCTGAAAGTTTCAGGAAAAAAGATTCGCTCACTTTTTCTCCTGATCCATTTATATAAAAACCTTAAAATGAGCTGATCAGATTTTGGCCACTTTATGATGTCATCACAATTTTTTGGCTTGTGTAGCCATTAGCCAATCCCCAGGAAAGTCCCTGCTCTCTAGCAGGGACTAAAAAGGGTGAAAAGGTTTGCAAAAAAAGTTCTAGTTCCAGATCTTTTTGGTGTGAACGCAAAATTCCAGGAACTATCGGAATTATTCCTGAGAAAGCATCAGACTTTTAATCTGAGGGTCCAGGGTTCAAGTCCCTGTTCAGGCGTAAATCTATTGTGTGATGTGACTCAAGTCCTCTCTAAAGCTAACATTTGTCTGCTAGACAAAGTCTTCGTGTTGCATTCGTGGCAGTCTGTTCCCTACCAGATTATCTAGATACATCCAAGTCACTCGCACATTTCTTCAAGGCCCCATTTATAAGTGCCTCATCTTTTACACTCAACCAAAGATCTCTCAGGTTGCCACATTGCTGATCTCCTTGAAAGCTGTCTTGATTTTCAGATACTTAATGCAAATGTAGGCATGCATACTTTCACTACTAAGGTGTCTTTCAGAGCCTGGATAGCTCAGTCGGTAGAGCATCAGACTTTTAATCTGAGGGTCCAGGGTTCAAGTCCCTGTTCAGGTGATAAATCTATTGTGTGATATGACTCAAGTCCTCTCTCAAGCTAACGTTTTTCTGCTAGAGAAAGTCTTTGGGTTGCATTCGTGGTAGTCTGTTCCCTACCAGACTATCTAGATACATCCAAGTCAGTGGCGGATTTCGGATTGTAGGAGATCCGGGGCGTAGCCCAGGAGTTGTTGGGGAGGGGGGTGCAGGGGTAAAGTGCTCTTTTTTACAAGTGGGGGGTGGACCGAACATCCTTCAG